CAGATTTTTGAAATATGCTTTCTATATCCTTTTAAATTCTGTAAAATCTGTGGTAATGTCTCCTAGGTCTTGATATTTCAATTTTAAAAATGTGTAATTGATATTGTGTAATAGGAAGTAAAGGTCTAGGGTGGTGGGGGAGGTGGGAGGAGGGGAAAGAGGCAAAAAAATATGAGAAAGGGAAAAAAATGGAAACGGGATCTTTGCAAGTGGGGAGGGTTGCAGGGGGTGAGGGGAGGGCAGGGGAAGGGGGGAAAAATGAGAACCAGGATAGTCCTGTAATGGCACAAGATCCCAATGATGTATGTAAATGTATTTTATACCTAAAATGTACCAATAAACTTAATGGTGGGGAAAAAACATTGGAGTACTACTCAGCCATAAAAAATGAGAAATTAGAGACATTTATTGCTAAATGGATGGCAATAAATGGAGGCAATAAATGGAGGCAACACTCTGAAGTGAAATAAGTAGGACACACATGTCTAAATACCGAATAGTTTCTCTAGTGTGAGAAACTGAAAGTGTAAATAAGAACTAAAAGATATAATAGATAATGTGAAATAGGAAGAAAAGGGACAGAGGGATAGGGTTAGGGGAAAGGAAAGAAGCAGATGGAATAGGAGAAAATGAAACAAAGGAAACAAAATCTCTGTAAATACGAGGGATGGAGGGGTTGAAGAGAGGGTAGGGGAAGGAAGAAAAATAAGAACCAAGAGAGTATGTAAAGATGCATATCTCCCATGATGAATGTCATTATGTTGTACACCTAAAATGTACCAATAAAAGGATATATAGTTAAAATAAATAAATAAATAATTTTTTTACAGTAGCCCATGTATTTAATGTAAGTACATTCAAAACTTTCAAGGAAATAAAGGACAAGTGTGATAATTTAAGAAAAGAACAGGAAGTGTTAAGAATCAAATAAAATATTTGAAATGAAAAAGAAAACTAAAATTAAACTCCATTGTAGATCTACCATTAGATTAGACTCAGTTGAGGAGAGTACTGATGGCCTATGAAAGTCAAGGCAAAAGAAAATATTTATAATGAAGCATAAGAAGAAAAGACCTAGAAAATACAAAATCAGTCAAACAAAAAGTACAAATGTAATAGCATCCTAACATCAGCTGTGGGAACACCATTCTATGTTTGACCTTGAGACAGAACATTTAGTATAATTTCAGTTTAAATTATCATTTTTCGTATATTATTTTCAGTCAAAAAAATTGTAGTAAAGGCTTCTAATTTTTAAGATTTCAATTAAGTATTTTAAGAGAAATATCTAAATTATTAAAAAGTAGTATTAAATAATACAAATCAATAAGTAAGTTTAATTACTTACATTCCATATGCTGAGCTTACAGCAAGACTGGTAATTTGTTGAGGAGGTTCACCATCTACCCATACCAAGTGAATAACAAGTTCTGCTTGATATCCTGGAGGCATTCTCACTGGTCGTGTCTTCACACTAGAAAAAAAAAAGAAAAAATACAAAGTATTTCTATCATGTGCAGTTTAAAAAAGCATGTTAATGATTTTGCCCTTATGATGGCCTACAGGTGGTCCTCTTTTACCTAATCTGGCTTGTGTTAAGAAATTACATGGAAGTATCCTAAAGAAATATGCAACACTGGGCATTGGTGCAGCATGTAGGTGGAGAGTGTTCTCCAGTTTCCCAAAATATAACAACCCACTTTTAGCAACTTTTCAGTTAAGTACATAATTTCAATTTTTCTTCATCACTTCCTTTTTTTCTTTTGCGGACAGTCTGTTGGATTATTTTTATTATCCTATTATTTTTCCTTATGTGGTTAAATATATGTAAGTTATAAAGCATAACAATAAAAAGAATGACCACCCGTCTAAAGAGATCAACATTTCCAATACCTTTATCCCTATTCATTTCTTCTAAAACTGCTCTACTGATAATCTTTGGCTAATTCTTTCACTTTCTTCAAGTTAGTCTTTAAGTCTTACCTTCTTAATGAGGCCTTTCATGACCACTCATTTTTCATTCAAAGGCAAAAAAATTCAAATAGTTGCACAAATACATGCATATATTGATAATTAGTGCTAAAAACTGAAATTGGCTAGTTGAAATGTTTATTTATTACTTAATGTATCTAGGAATCTAAGTTTAGCAAAGGAAAGCAACCTAGAGATGATGCGGACATAAATGTAGTAATGTAGTGTGGATTATATACAACCCAAGAACCACTTATAATTCACAGAATAATATTAGATCAGTTTTGCTGCTTGGTCCCTAGACACTAACTACATAGTATAGGACTGTATTATATTTTAAAATCCATGGTTCTATTAATTATGAAGAATATTCCCACTATATTTTTCAAATCAATCCTTCAATTACAGTTCGAAAATTGTTACTGGTTACTTCATTTCCACTACCAAGTCTTTGTTGCCATCATGTGTTTTTTTCTCTCATTCTTATCTTAATTTTTTTTTTATTATATAGAAAAACATTAGGTATGTAGAAGACTCATGCTTTAATGATAGGTTTTCTTAATAAAGAAATCTTCAGGTCTTTCTTGAACTTTTTGTTCTTTTTCTAGTTTTCATTTTAATAGAAATAAATTAAAGCAAATTGATATGAATGACAATTAAATGTATAAAATCATAACAGCTAGGGCTAGGGATTCAGTTCAGTGGTGCCATTGCCTGACTCGCAAGCACAAGGTCCTGAGTTCAATCCCTGGTACCAAAACACCCCAAACTACAAAGCAAAACAAAGAGAGAAGTTGTCTGATGTATCAAAATCATAACAGCAAAAATTTTATGGTGATTTTTCCATTTTTAGATTGTTTTCCTATTAATATGTTTATATTTACATTTTTTAAAACTTCACAAAATTGTTTGGGGACAAAACTTAAGGATTGGTACTAGTACTAATTATACAGATTTTGTTCCTGAAATCTCTGTTGGTTGGTGGTTTTTTGAGTCATAGTCTTGCTGTGTAGTTTACACTGGCCTTGGATTGACTATGTAGCCCAGGCTGCCTTTGAATTTGCGATGATCCTACTGCCTCAGCCTTGCAAGTGGTGAGATTACAGGGGTGCACTACCAAGCCATGCTCTGTTGCTGCAATCTTATCTTTAAATTTTCTATTAGTCTTTTCATAAGAAATGAGGAAATTAGCAATTCATATTTCAAGTAGCCGATGTGGATATTTTCAAATGGGATTCAGAGAAATTTCTTATTTCTCCAACCAGTTCCTGCTAGAAATGTTTGTTTTGACAATGTAGAAATAATAATTTACACCCTATAATACAAACCATAAAAAAATTCAGATATTACAATGGGCTTTATTAACTTTAGATTTTATTAGATTATGTTGCTAAACTTTGTTTACATTGAACACTATAACTAGCAAGTTAGAAAAAAGAAAAGTATGAGTAACAATATAAGAAAAATTTTTTCTAATAGAATATACTTCTGATAGATAGTAAGCTTGGTTTTGTTTTTAATTCTAAGATAGCTGAAGATGTTTTATAAACATGTTTTCAATTGAAAAGTACCAAGCAAGTTGCCAAGTTTTTGCCTTGCCAAAGTTCTCATTCTTTCACAGCTATGTTTTCTCTCTCTCTTTTCTTTTTTTCGGTACCAGGAATCAAACTCAGGACCTTGCATTTGCAAGACAGGTGTGGCCCCACTGAGCTAAATCCCTGGCCCTAAAGCTATGTTTTCTTTTCTTTCTTTCTTTCTTTTTTTGGTACCAGGGATCAAACTCAGGACCTTGCGCTTGTGAGACAGGCAGCGGAAACATTGAGCTAAATCCCCAGCCCTAAATGAAGTCACTTCTTTTATTTCATTTTATTTTTTAATTTAAAAACAAATTAAAAAACAAAATATTTTTTTTTGGTACCGGGGATCGAACTCAGGACCTTGTGCATGTGAGGCAGACATGGTGCCACTGAGCTAAATCCCCTAAAAGCTATGTTTTCTTTTAGATCTTTCTGGGAAAGAAATATATAAATCAGTAAATGAAAGATGAGGATATGTGCCTTTTTTGTGTATGTTTGAAGAAAATACCAGAATACCCTTTGGTCTATTATAAATCTCTTGACAACAACTTAGAAGAGTGATTTTATTTGTCACAATGTCCAAGAATTATATGATTAATATATACAATTGTTTTAAAATTTGGTATGAACCCTTACTTCAGGCATGGAATACTGTCCTTTGTTATTCCTTCACTAGCCACAGTATTAGTGCTCCCAGAAAGACTCCTTGAAGAAGGAAGCTGGGATGAGACATCTGGAAACGGAGGACTTGTTTCTGGTTCAGGGGTAATAATATCTTCAACATCGTACTGAAGTCGTACCTCTAATGACTTAAAAAATCAAGTTTTAATTTAATCTACATCATAAAAACAAATACATTAATATATCTGATAACTTTTCAGTAATTATTCACAATTTTTTCTGATTAGTAAATTCAATTTGAACTTATATTAATGTTGAGAAGTATGTCAAACTGAATTAAATTGTCAATTATATGGAATACTCAATGGCAATCACAAAAGACAAATTTTTAATTCTTTACAGTTATAAGAAAATACCAGTAAAGTTTATACATGCTAAATATTCCTTAAGATACAGTATAAGCTATAATTTGATATATGATAAAATAAAAAGATTTAAAGAACTGATCATTACTATTCCAATGAAAGAAATGAAACTGTATGTACAAGTTTGTATTATCTGTTCAAAGTCTTTTACTTAAAAAAACTCAACTCATTGAATCTTGGCTTTGCACTAATTTAGAAAATTTTTCCAAGAAAATTTCACATTTTTTTGTTCTTTGTTTTGTTTACTTAGTTTTTACTTGTTTAATTTCATTGCCTTGATCAGAACTACTTAATGAATAATGATATTATTGAGTTGATTTATATAGAAATAAAAAGGTGACCCCAAGCCTTTTCTAAAACTAAAAATGTATAAAAATAATGCCTATACATGCATTAAATACTTTAATTAAAAGTGATTTTATAACAAATATTTGTTCCACAATGTAAAATGTATATTTTTAGAATTGAAAATAGCTGCTTACAAAAAAATGATGATAAGGGGTGTTTAATATAGCAATATTGCCAAGGTGATTGCCATAACAACATTAAAACTATGTAATTCTGTGTAACTCTAGTGGCAATGATTATCAATTATCGAACATTTACTATACTTAGGCACCATGCTAATAATGTCTTTATATAATCAGCATAAAACCTTATGAAATTGATATTAGTATTTGTAGTTTACTTTTATTTTCCATTTACCCAGAAAATTATGTAGGTGATGAAAGTGAATGATATCCAGATTCTGCTACTAGCTAGCAGCCTTTTGAGTTGCTCATAGTCACACGGGCATTCAATGGTAAAGGTAGAATTAAAACCTAGTTATAACTGACTTCAAAGCTTGGGGTTCTGATGTACTGTAAAAGGGTGATGCTGATTTTAGCTGTTGAAGTAAAAATACACAAAGGCTAGTAATGAACCTTTATCTTCTGGTAATAGGTTCGAATAGAATAATTATCCACATTGCTATAAAACAATAATTAAAAGTAACCTTATTGTAGCTGAGAAATAATCACTTAAAACAATTAATTGACTAGAAAACAAAAACCAGTTAAGCTTAAAATATAAATACAGAACAAAACTTGTGCTAATGTGACATACATAAATCAACAATTATATACAACTGGTACATATATATGTATGTAAGTGTAGGTACATTCCATAATGCACACATATTTCAAAATATATTCTATAATTTCCTTTGTTATAAAAGTGAATAAATAATTATAAATGCTAAACTTCTAATATTAGCAATCAGTATTCAGAAGAAATTGAGTCATTTTGGCCACAAAGATGCAATATAAAAGGGATAGAAAAATCTTGTATATATCAAAGAGAAAAATGAAAAAAATGTTTAACTTGTAGCAAGATTAACTTAAAACAGCAAGCTCATTTTGACATTGACAGAAAATACTAAGTTTTAATAGAGAATTGTTCATCTCATGTTAAACCAAACCATTTTTAATATATGTATTGTTACAATAATAATTTAAAATCCTATGAATTATATCACTGGCCATATACTGCATTTTTGTTGGCTTAAAACCATACCAATTAGTGGCCCAAATCTATAATTGGTTTCTTTTATCTGTAAGTGTAAAAATTAAATTTTAAATAACTTACCACTATTTCTGTTGTAACTTCATGTCTGCTGAATTTATAAATAATGACATATGCAGAGACTCCTGATATACAAAATATTCTGCTCTCTGGACACCAATAAATCATCTGAATGGCATATGGATCATCTTCTACCATTTCACACGACTGTTTGCCTTCTCCCACCTTTTGTTTTTCAAAGACTTTTGAAGTTTTTAGTTTGTACAGCATCTGCAGAGTTGCTATGAGACACTGAAACAGTTATCTTCTAATTTGAACTAATGTTTAGATGTTGTTAAAACTTTCTCAATGTATTTTTTAGACCACAAAAGTAAAACACAAGTACAGAAGAATACATGGAACTAGTAATCACTTAATATCATGGTCTTATTTCAGTATAGTACTGAGATGAAGACTAGAAAGAAAAAATAAACAATTATTGAACATATATGCCATTGAATATGTATTTATTTCCTCATGTGATCTTGAGAAAAGTCCTATATTTTTGTTCTTGTTTGATGGAAACACTGGGGCTCAGAAAGTATACAATAGAAATATGACATGATTCTGTCCTAGGGGAGATCCCTCAATGTTTTTTCATAATGTACTCCTTTGATTGATAGGTCTGTGACACTATCCTCAGGTTAACTTCTCTCAAAAAAATTTTAGACACTCCTTTGGACAAGAAACATTGTAATTTACCAGCTAACAATATTGGGAGCCAAGAATAATTCTTTTAATAAAGATCTATTCTGATTGGCTGTGTGAAGAAAAGGTGAGAAAAAGTCTTATAAAACTGAGTTTGTGGGCCAGAGATTTAGCTCAGTGGTACCGTGCTTGCCTCACAAGTGCAAGGTCCTGAGTTCGATCCCTGGTACCAAAAACAACAACAACAGCAACAACAAAAACAACAAAAACTAAGTTTGTGAACTGTTTTCAAGAATATTAATTTGGGGTAGTATTTTTTCCATTTGAGATCATGATTACACTAACTCCCCTACAAAGGAGTTCTGATTCTATAAACACTGTTTGAGAAAAGTTTCAAAAATCAGTTCTTGCCAAAAGTTCAAAAACTAAATTTAATCATCAGAAGCATTAGTGAAACCCAAAATTGAAGGTGATTCTACAAAATAACTGACCTGAATTCCTAAAAAATGGCAATGACATGAAATATTCAGAATTGTTCTAGAATTTTAAAAAGTCATTGGATATAATGACTAAATACAATAAATCATCCTAGATTTTCTTTTGTTATAAAAAATATTACTGAGACAATTGGCAAAAGCTAAATAAGATCTGGAGATTTAGAAAACAGTTTTGTATTAACAATCTCCTGGTTTTGATAACTATGTTTAGGTTGTATATGAGTACTCTTGATTGTAGGATATATACATTGAAGTAGTTAATATAAAGTATTAAAGGAACATTATATCTGTGCCTGTAACTCATTCTCAAATGGCTTAAAAAACTATGTCTACATGTACATATTTTGTGCATATGTGTTCACATTGGTGTGAGAGACTATCAGGAGAAGGGAGGAAAGACTAGGGAAGATAAAGGAAAGGAAATATGATAGGAGGGTGAGGGAGGAAGGAGAAGACAAGAGAAGAGGGAGAGGGAGGGGGATGGAGAGAGAGAGAGGAGGAAGAGAGAGAGGGTAAGGGAGAGAAAACAAGAGAGGGAAACAAATGTAGTACATATTGAAATTTGGGGAATCTGGTTGAAAGCTATATGTTTTACAGTGCCTTTTTTCCCCTAATTTTTTCTGAAAGCCTGAAATTATGTCAAACTAAAATAGCTCTTAAATGGGCAAGACATTGTATTAAGTGCAATAGTTGGACTTCTGCGGTCATATGGGATGCCTTTGCATGTTACATAACAATGACAAAAAGATTTTGCATAATAATTAAGAACCCTAATTAGGTGACTGAGTTAATCAATATAGAGATTATGCTTAATAGGCTTGTTATAATTAGGTGAGCCCTCTAAAAAAGGGATTAGGGTGCTCTCTAAAGGGAAACATAACTTTTGTACTGGCCTTGAAGCAGTAAGCCACCATGGGTTCTAAAGATGCGAGAAAATTAAGTTTGCTAGCAACTACATATGAGCTTGAAAGAGACCTCTGAGCCTCAAAGGAAACTGCAAACTCAGTCAATATTTTGAATATACTCTTGTGAGACTCTGAGCAAAGGATTCAGTTAGGAAGTAATGAGATTTCTAGCACATAGGAACTATAAGGTAATAAAGAGGTTTTGTTTCAATTGTTAAATTGTGATAATCTATTACTAGCATTAGAAAACTAATACATACTATAAATTCAACTTTTCATTTCTTAGACATTGTTTCACAAAATTAGCAACTGGGGTTCTTTAGTGACATTCATTATATTGAAGATGTGCCCTTGTAATTGAATTAAAGGCAGGGCCATTCTTTGCAATTTATGTTGTGAATGTGATAAAACATTGTGTTAATTAAAAATTAGCTTCTTAAAACATTGTTATGCATCCTAAGGGGTTTTGTATATTCCAATAATTAGATGGCTTTTTTTTTTTTTTTTGGTACCAGGGATCAAACTCAGGACCTTGTGCTTGCAAAGCAGGCAGCGGAACCACTGAGCTAAATCTCCAGCCCTTGCACTCCAATAATTAGAATTGTTAAAGTGTCCTCTCATACTTTAGAAGAAAGAAGTGACTCTGAGGTGGTGGGAAAATAACAATGATATCAGTATGCGTTAATTTTGTTCTAGAAACAAGCTTATATTTGTATGCAGAGATCCATCAAAAGAAAATCTGTTGCTTTTTTGAGTTTCTTAATCATTTACTCTTTAATAGATGAAACTTGTTATGGTTTGATTTGAAATATCCCCCAAATGCTCACTGGTTCAGAAGTGACTGAATCATGAGGGCACTCACCTCATCAGTGGACTAATCCATTGATGTATTCATAGTTGAATGGATTACTAGGAGGTAGGCCCAGCAGAAGGAAGGAAGTCTGGGGGAGGGTGCCTTTGAAGGGTATGTCTTGTGCCCAGCCTCTTCTCTGACTCCTTCCCACTGGCTGCTATGAGGTGAGCAGTTTTCCTCTGCTATTCTCTTCTGCCGTGATGCTTCTACACTGGAGCCAGCCCAACCTGGACCAAAACTTCTAAAAATGTGCCAAAATAAGCTTTTCTCCTTTAAGCTGTATAGGTCAGGTATTTTGGCCAGCAAAAACAGAGACTAATATATAAGGTCAGGAAAGGGGCCTTAGATTCTAAGCCTTTAAATCTTTTTCTCATGTTGAAGTTTTTCTTGATTGCTGAGGACCCTAACTTGTGATAGAAGAGTATCATCGAGAGTCAATTTTTTAAAAAAGTCAATCTTTTCTTCTGCTTTTCTGTTTATTATAGTCTCCCTCAGAAACTATTCACTTCCATAGCTTCAAATATCACTTTTGTATTGTTTCTTCATTAGTTTCCATTCCCAATTGTTCTGTCTACCTGCTGGACATTTTTATTTGAAATTTCTGGTATTTCTATAAAGTTCAAAACTCTCTTGTATTCCTTATTTACAAAAGAGTTCACTTCATCTTCCCAGTTATATATCTTCAGAAATTTAGTGTTGTTGCTAACTTGTTCTCTTCCCATTGTTAAAATCTTTAACTAAACTCACACTTAGACTATTAAAATATCCTTTCTGAGTCCAAATACTATTTCTGAAAATAAATAGAATTTTTATTGTATTACATTTAGAATTCTTATCATATTGTTTGCCTGGTAGTGACAGATGTGCATTTCTTTTTCTAGTGACTGTTAAATCTTCTGAAAACATTTATGGGTATAAGGAAGATTTAATTATTTTTGTGTGTCCTTCAACATTGAGAAGAATACTTATTTATTCCATAAATTAAATAATTCTTTAAAATGTAATAAGAATTTTTTGCTATCAAATAATTTCTTTTGATCTTCACATGACTTAGGTGAGTGAGAAGAAAAGTCAAGATTATAGCGATAAAAGCATTTGTTGAAGACTGCATAGCTAGGAGGCAAAGAAAATTCCTTGAACACTGTTAATTTGACAAAGTCTAGTACTATTTCTGACATACCACATCTTGAAGACAAAATGGGTTGCTGACAGACAGACTTTGTCTTGTTTGTTCTATATTACAGAAGATAAGTACAAAAAAGAAACTTTAAACTGGTTTAACAATATGAGATATGGAATTTGTAATAGCAATACATTTATCAAAATAAAATATTAACTGCCAAAACTAAAATGTAATGGATGGCCATGACTCAACATTACCCAAGTGTTGATTGTTTACAGGGATAAACTTTAAACTTACTTGCAGAAGCATCCCAAAATTTTATTGATCCATCTGCATGACTAGATGAAAAACAGATTAGTATTAAAGTACATCGAATAAAAAATCACTCCAAAATGTATAAAACTTGAGCTAATGTTTTTAATTTTGATTCAAAAATACCACTCTAATGAAAACTAATGTATGATAAAACATTTTAAAACTTAAAACACTGGCTTGTTCCTTAATACCCTAAAATTTGAAGATTATAAAAAGACCAATTCCTTAGATTTTACTGTAAGACTTTATGTGGTACAGTGAAAACTAGCCCATGGAAAATAAGCAAAATTCCTTAGGTAAAATTTTGGGTATTTAATGAAAAAGATAACATGATCTTGACATTATTAAAATATAAAATAAATGGGCTGAGGATTTAGCTCAGTGGTTCCGCCGCCTGTCTTGTAAGCGCAAGGTCTCGAGTTCAAACCCTGATACCAAAAAAAAAATTTATATATATATATAAAATCCCTAAACCCAAATAAAGTTGTCATGATTTTAAAAATAAATAAGCTAATGTTAATTCTATAAAAACTCATTTACAAAATAGAAGAGGATAGAACGTTTCTCAACATATTTGATGAAATCAGCATTATCTTCAAAACCAGAAAAAAAATACATGAAAATTAAACACCGATATCACTCATGAGCATAGGCATAAAAATTGTCAACAAAGTATTATCAGATCAAGTCACATAAGATATGAAAGGGATAATTCATCATAATTGAGGTTTGTCTTAGGAGTGGAAAGTCGGTTAAATAATTTTTAAAAAATTATGTTGTAATGCACCCACAGTGTCAAAGAAGAAAAGCCATATGATCATTTTGATAGATGTAGAAAAAGCACGTAACAAAAATTCACCACCCATTTGTAAAAACAAACAAACAGTAAATTAGAAATAGAGGAAGCTTCAGCCTCTTAGAAGGAATCTAGAAACAATTTACAGATAGCGCCTTAACCCATACACAATAGTAAAAGACCAAATGTTTCCTCCTAAGATCAGAAATGAAGCAAAAAATGTTCACTCTCACATGATATTGGAGTTCATCACTGCAATAGAAAAATAAACAGAAAATGTACAACTGAAAAGAGATAAAACTGTTTCTATTTGCAGATCACATGATGTAAAAGTTGGTATTCCGAAAATTCCAAAGATTAAAAGGAATACTAGAACTCATATGAGTTTAAGATAATTGTTAAGAAAAAATGCCAAGAGGCAAAATTCAGTTGTATTTCTATATAATAGCAAGACCACTTAAAAGTTGATTTACAAAATATCATTTACAAAAGCAAAAAATAAACATAAGATAGTTCAGTGTAAATGAATATAAATTTGTATGGTGAAAACTACAAAATGCTGATCAAACAAATAACAAAATATATTAATAAAATATGTTCCTGATTACTGTAAAATATTAGGTCTCCGTTTTCCCAAAATGATATGTACATTCAATGTAATCCCAATTGAAATATGCCAAAAAAGTTCATGCAGAAATAAAATGATTCTAAAATATACAGAGAAAGGTAAAGAAACTATAATCATCAAAATAATTTTGAAAAACAATAAACAGTTGGAAGACTCAAACTACCTAGCATTAAGTCTCCCACTAAAAGCCACCATATAATTATTATGCTATTAATGATAAATGGACACATATATTAATGGAACAATATTATTGGAGAGTCCAGATGTGAATCCACATATATATGGTCAACTAACTTTTTTAAAGGGGGATCAGTCACAGATAAAGCAATGTGGTTTCTTTTAACAGATTTACTGAGACATAATTTACATACCCCAACATTCACCCAATGTAAGTATACAGATTGACAATTTTAGTAAATTTATGTGTCTGTGACAATGACACAATCATCTAGTTTTAGCACAGTTTCATCACCCCCCAAAATTACTTTATTCTAATATATAATGCTCAAGCATCCCGGTAGATTTCCAGTGATTTAATTTCTGCCAGTATAGATTCTTTTTATTAGAATTTTAATTAACAAATATAATATTATGTGAAATAAACATAATATTTACTCTTTTATGTATGCACCTTTTACTTAGCATGTTTGTGAGGATAATTATTATTACATACATCTGTAAATTCTCTTTATTGCTTAATAGTATCCTATTTTATGGATATACTTCATCTATCCACTGACCATTAATGGACATTCGGATTGTTTTCAACTTTGGGTTAGTGAAAATAAAGATGCTATGAATTACTTTGTATGTTTATATATTTAATCATACACTTATACATAGATTTTAAAACGTTATTTCTGAAACATTCTGCAGGATGTGGTAGGAGACCTTACACAACCTATCAAACTTTAATTTTGTTTTCACAATGTAATATTTGATTTGAATAAAACAATGTACGTAACACAGATTTAAGATATAAAATATAATTGTATTGAAACTACTCAACCAAAGAACTAACATTAGTAATAAGTTGAGTCTTATGTGCTCTTCTTGATTCCACCTTCCTGATTTCTTTGCAAGAAGAAGTTGCCATTACCCTGAAATCTTTTAAAATCATCTTTTTTTTACAATATTATCAATTATATGTATAAACTATAAACAATATACTGAGTTTTTCAGGTTTAAAACTTTTTGTATATTTTTTTGAATGGCGGTAAATATATTCACACTGTTGTGCAAAAGATCTCCAGAACTCTTTCTTCTTGCAACACTGAAACTCCCTACTGCATATTAATTTTTTGGCAGCCCAATTAATTTTAAAATCATTTGAACATAAAAAGGCACATTGACTAAACTGCATTTTATAGCCCGCAAGACACCTTGGAGTAGCTTGGATTTTACTCTAGATTCCATTATCATCCAATCCAGCTTCTTGCTTCATTCACATGCACATTCTTTTTATTTCCTTGCTCCCCAGAAAAGCAGATGAGAGAAGCAGCCATCTGTGTTGTCAGTAGTTCTTTGACAGGAAAAGGGCAACACAGTTATTTAAACTAACATTAAACAGGTAAAGTAAAACAAGACAATGCTTATGGAATGTATGGTGCATATTGGCAGCACTCACATCATTACATTTCTGCTTCTCCTATTCAGTCATTTCTCTTGAAGGCAGAAGATTTTTCTCTTGAGTTTATCTTCACTTTTACCTATGAAATTTCTTGGGTGTGTTAGACATGGTTGTAGGGGAAGCACAGCAAGGTGACTGAGAGAAGTTTGGTCAGCACAGCGGTCACCTCCAAATCAATATATTGTTCACGTTTGCTTCATTTAAAAACTTTATAATAATGTAATTAGGATGTATATAAAGAAAAAGATTTTTCCCATATCAGATTTATGAATTCATACACATTTTTGCTTGTAAATCATTCATTGTTAGTGCTTTAATATAGAACAGTCTGCCCAATTTAGATATTTGTTGGTACTTGGGCAATTATGACTTTATTCTCTTTCTTTTGATAATATAAATAGTACAGCTATATATACACACAATGCTTGTTATTTATGCACAAAAGTAGACTTGGTAGATCTTAGAGAATGAAAATAAACAAATTTACAAGTTAATGTTAAATTGTTCCAGATTTACAAATTTATGTTTCTATTTACAATATAGAATTTTCATTGAACCATACACTTTGCAACACTTGCTTCTAACAAAATTCTGAATTTTCTTCAATAGATGTTGAATATAAAAATGATATCTCATTATGGTTTTAATTTGCATTTTCTAATTTCCCTAATTTTTAAAGTGAAACCATGTAAGTTTTCTAGGTAAAAGCAAATTAAAAATAATTTATCAGACAACTTAAAGGGATGATGGCCATAATAAAGGACATGATTAGTGAATCTAGAGTAGGTACAGATAAAAAAAATAGAGAGGAACTTAGGAACATGATGGAAACCATGAATGCCCAACAAAGGAAAGAAGTGGAATCCATGAAACAGACTCAAACAAGATATTCAGAGATTAAAAATTCTATTGAAAGTATACGAAGCAGAATCAACCAATGGGAGGACAGAATGTTGGATCTAAAAGATAGGTTTGCAGATAGCAATCATGAAAAGAAAGATTTCTTAAAAATAACAAGGGATAATGAAAAATCAATCCAAAAGATGCTAGATGATACAAAGAAGATTAACCAAAAAACATGTTCACAGAAGAAGTGATGAAAACATCCCAAGCATGGAAAAAGAATTTGACACACAGATAAGTGAGGCATATAGACCCAGTTAGCCATGATCAACAATGTTTTTTACCAAGGCATATAATTGTCAAGATCCCAGAAATTCAACACTAGAATGACATTTTTTTAAATTCATAGAATAGAATATTAAAAGCTGTGAGAAAAGAAACACAACACCTATAAAGACCATAAGAATCACAGCAGACTTCTCAGTCAAACCCTTAAGTCAAGGGTGACTTGGAGTGAAGGATTTCAAGCCCTAAAGGAAAACAACCTCTAACCAATATTGATGTATCTCACAAAACTATATTTCAAAATTGACAGAGAAATAAGATAGTTCCATGATAAAGAACACCTGAAGAAATTCACAACCTCTCCAAAATGTTCTGAGCAGTATTCAAAAAAGAGATAACAAAGACTGCAATTCCATGAACCCCAATAAAATGAATCCACCAAGCAAGCAAATAATCTAAGGGAAAAGAAAGGGAACCAACAACAGGAAAATTATAAGAGAAGGATAAGTCAATGCATATTAATTATAACCATCAATGTAAATGGTCTTAATTCACCAATCAAAAGAAACAGATTAGCAGAATAGATCAAGAAGATCCAACAATATGCTGCACACAAGAAACACATTTAACTTTAAAAAATTCATAGACTGAAAGTCAAAGGATGGAAAACAATACTCCATGTGACAGGAACCTGGAAAAAAACCAGGAGTAGTGATTCTATTTGCAGACAAAGTAGATTTCAAGCTAAGACTGGTCAAAAGAGACAAATAAGTTCACTACATACTTGTAAAGGGAAAAATCCAAGAGAAAGAAATAACAATCATAAACATATAGGTACCAA